ATTAATGTTCTTGATATTTGTATTACTTATTAGTATTTTAGTGAAGTAATTATGGTGTATTTGTGTAATTGGTAGAATATTAATAATATATTTATGTAGTGATACATTGGATGTTTAACAACTTTTATTTTGGGTTGATGTATTATGCACTAGTTTATGAGTTAATATATGTATTAGCATATAATCGTTCTATGGTCGGGTAAGACTGATGTGAGAAAAAGACATTGGGTTTCATGGGAGAATTTGGGGTTTATTGGGACAAATTTTGCACCATTTGAAGACATTGGATTTCAGTTTGCTGCATGTATATAGGGTTTGATGTTAGACGGTTGATTTTGGAAGGCTATTAGTGTTATGCTATTGGTAATTTGACATTTTGAAGGATTAAAATCAGTAGGGTTTGATGTCAGACTGTTTGTAATATTTATTTATTGTAATTTTTTTTGATTATTTGAAATAAAACTTTTCTTTTTTGTAAAAATATATATATATAATCATGTAGATATGGTTTATCAAGAATTAAAATAAATGTAAAATATATGACATAAAATAAAATAATTACCAAATATATTTTATGTTTTAGTTTTTAGATTTTGTAAAACAACAACTACATCCAAACATGTTTTTTATTTTAACTTTTAATTAAAAAAAAATATTAATTTTATTTTTTATCTTTTTAAAAACATAAATACGAAAATGTTATCAAATGCAGTCTTAAACTATCATCTCTGCCGCAGTCCAGACCTCGGATTATCTCAGCTGCTATCTCCATGAGGCCAATCAAGAAGAATATGACACTTGGCATGGCATGTCTGCCAGCACACCTGGGCCGCCACCATGTTGGGGCAAACTATTGGCTCTTGCATGGCAATAATTTTATACATACACAAACCGTGAATGATTATCCCTTAAAGTTAAAACACACTCAGCACACACTATAAAAACCATCATAAATAAAGTGTGAGACCATGAAAAAATTGCTTAAGAGAATACTTTCTCTCTTTTTCTTTTTATTTTCGGACTTGATAAATATATTATTTTGTTAAACTGATTTTGGCGTCGAAGATGATTCAACTGGGACCACACCAATCCCTTACTTTTAATTTCTTTTGACAAGACCGGAGTTATTTCGCCACCGTTACTTGAGGATGAATATCTAAACTTACAACCCATATTTTCGACCTTGTTTACTGATTGCTCCATTAAACTTTGTTCAATTAAATTGAATTGAGTAGCTTAGAAATAAAAATTAATGGTTATATTCATGTATATAAAAAAACGATCCAAACGGATGATGCAATCAAATGTTCCGAATAATTCTAAAGTAAGCCATTAAGGCCCAAAATATACCTAACATTAACAAACTTAAACTTCAAGACTCAGAGCCATCATCATCATCTCCACCTCCATCAATGCTTTGCCTCTGTCTTCATAACCATTTTTGCACCTTTCTGCCACCAAAAAAATTAAAATTTGCCTTTTACCATACTCATTGCATAGTACCAAGACACATAATCTGAATTTGCTGATAATAGCTTTCTTTCCAATTAACACCCCCAGTTACACCAAAATTTTCCTCTTTTTTGGGCTTTTCTTCACCTCTGAATACTTTCTTATTTGCTATAAATATATTTTTCAAAAAATTATAATAATTAATAATTTATAATAATAGTGATCAATCGGTATATATTCATAAAGCTTGAACCTTTTGCTATGCTCAACACTTACACAAGTAAATTGGATCCCCCACAAAAGAGTAATGATATATAGCTACCCTAATTTCTTTGTTTTTTTTTTGGGTCCTTTCTATGTCTATATATATATATATATATATAGAGAGAGAGAGAGAGAGAGGGTGTTCTTGGAAAAGGTGCGCAACAAACAATTAATATCTCTTTATTAGATTTTCCAATTAAGTCCCACTAAAATTGCTCCTAAAATATTAAAGTTTTTGTGCTTTGAAAGATAAGTAATGCTAGACTGATTAAATTTTGGTACTAAATTTAGAGTTAAATGACATGACAATTGATTATTTGAAGTTTTTATTGAGGTTCAAATGCCATCACACCAATCAAAGAAGTCCATGTCAACTGTCATGTCATTTGAGCTCTAAATTTGATTTCAAAATTTGATCAGTCTAGCATTACTGTTGAAAGATAATAGAATTTTTTTTTTTTTTTGAAGATAATAGAAACTTAAGCATGCCGTGAAGACTTAAAACTCTCTCTATTATGTGCATGCTTTTGGTCACCTCTGGTCTCTATCTTAGTACAAGCTGATGCTCTCTCCTTCTACCTATGTACCCAACCTTTCAATTTGAGAACAGTTGTTGAAAAGGAGAGTAAACAGCACCTATAACCCATGTCTGAACTGGATGGATACCAAACCTCCCTCACTAAGTCATGGCCACCTAAACACAGAATGGGTCAACTTCCTATCTTAAACAGATGGAACTTGAATTTGAAATCTTCCACCGAATCGGGAGATGATTAGTCGAGATATACATAAATTAATTTAGACATTCTTGACGTTTGAACCCAAAAAAAAAAGATTATTATCCCCTCCAATATATAGTATCTCCAACACAATTGACCCCAAAACTGGTGGTTCTACTGTTGGTTTCCTCACCGGTTTCATGGTATTTTTCAGTTGGTAATTTCACAATATGTTTGGGATGACGAAAATTAGGTGGATAAAAAATAGGAGAGTAAGTGGTGCTTTCCTCGCTTGGCGTCGAAAGAAAATACTCCATTTGAGTTGGTTTCCTGATCACTTAACTTTGCTCCATTCTGAAATGACCGAATCTAAGTAGTGATGATAATCGAACCAAGTTATTCAAGTTCGGCTTGAGTTCTATTTATTTTTGACTTATTTAGGTTAAATTTAAACAAATTTTTAGATTTTTTTGAAAAATAAATTCGACAAGATCGACTCATTTATGTGTAAATATTTCGACTCGACTTGAATTCAACTCGTTTTAAACTCGTTCAAACTCAACTTAAAAACGAGTCGGACTTGAATAAGTTTTTAAACTCGATTAAAAAAACAAATTTTTTAGACTTGACTTGAATTCGTTTAACTATCAACTCTGGATCTTAGTAGTGAAAATTTCCAAGACAAACATTAACATTCGACATAAAAAATTACTTCATCTAAATGCTTTTGGTTAGCATTGAACATGCTTCATGCTTACATTATATTAATTTCGACCAGTTTACCCAAAAAAAAAAAAAACTTTTGATCGACATCTTTTTTGGACTAATGTTCAATCAACATGGAGTATACTACAAACTGACTTTTCGACGCACCCACTGTCACACCAAAAGACAAAAAAGGATTATTATGGCAAGAAACCTCAGCTAGCCACGTTTACCCATCGAGAGGATACCCCAGCTAACGGTGGACCCCGTAGAGGGAAAAGGCTAGCTTTTTAATTTGAGACGGCAAGTGGGAATACCAGCTGGTCGATTATGTGTTCCAATAATCTATCAAGGATTGAGATGCAATTGAAAGTGCTTTATTCGAGTCACGATCCATAAAAGTGGCTTTATATAAATTCAATTAAGGATACTGTGATTAAATCTCTAAATTTTTCATAATATTTTTTTTAATTTTTTATTCTCTATGTATAAATATTAATATTTATGAAACTTTTTAATTGTTTATATTACCCTTTAAAAATAAGTGTTGATTAGAATATTACTAATTATTATTATTTTATTCAATAAATTCTAAGTTGAAACTTAATCAAATAAATTTCAAAATGAATAATTTTTATATATATTTTTTTTATAGTTAGAACAACGAATTGTTAGAAAGAGAAAAAAAATTATGAATTCAATAATATAATACAGGCGATAAAAATATAATTTTCATAAATTTCAGATGATATTTAATTTAGATATAGATATACCTAAAAAAATTTTACTAATATTTTATATAAAAAAATTTATTCACATGCCCATGACTAATAATTTATAAGATAGTATAATCTTCATAGAGCCCAGAGTGAGTTTTTGACAGAGGCTCCATCTAGGGGAGCCTTGATTAAAGGTAGGGCTATTAGTCGAACGAGTTCGAGCCGAACTTGAAAAGTTTGTTGTTTAATTAAGTTTTAAAAATTGTTCAAGTTCGGCTCGTTTAAGAAACGAGCCGAGCCTGAACGAGTCGAACCCGAGTTAAGCTCGAGCCGAGCCCTAGTATTTACACATAAACGAGCCGAATTTATCGACCTTGAGTCGAACTTGTAAAGTTTGTTTTCTAAATGAGCTTAAAAATTTGTTTAAATTTGGGCTCGTTTAGAAGACGAACTGAGCCTGAACGAGTCGAATCCGAATCGAACTAAAGCCAATCTCGAGTAATTTTTTAATTAACAGCCCTAATTAAGGGGTCACTCTTGTGATGGGAGTGGGTGGCTATGTGACATTAACGTAACGAACAAAATTGTTAAAATTTGCGATATGTACCCTATTTTTTTTTCTTAAAATGTGGGCATTAGTAAATTGTATTTTTTAAGACGACGAGCTTAGCTCTTGTCGACGTGTATTTCTGATTTGGACTTGATTGCACATGCGACTTAAACCAGATCTATATTTTTAAACTGGTCACTGAATTGGACTTGATCGGTAATTTTGAACTACGCCTGGTCTGAGCCGGCCCGACAACTTCCCTCACTGAATTTGAGAATCACAGAATTGCAGTATGTTCACTTTTATGGGTCCCACCCAGAACCCAAGTTTGATTATTCTGTCAAATATATTTTATTTTTTGATAGATGACCCTATAAATTTAAGTTAGACTAATTACATATAAGTAGGTTAATTTCTTTGGTTTTTTAATAGAAGTGCGGACGGTAAAATTTGGAGCTACGATCTAACGGTCTAACGACAAGTCGTGATGACTATTAGATTAACCGCAGATCCTCAAGTGGGTTATTTATTAATAGACGATAAATGATTTTAATAAATTATAAAAAAAAATGTATTGAAATAAATCTCAATCCCAATTTTCCATCTATTAATCATACTAAGAGACAACAGGTAGGAAAAGGCCTTTGGAGAAGAAGAGAACAGTCATTCATCAGGATCAGATAAGCACATACTAATCAAAATCCACACACACAGAATAAAAAGAAGTTATTGAAAATATTGAATGCTTGAGGATTGAGATGAAGCTATCTAGTACTAAACCAAGGATTACTACAATTATTGTCCCACAAGCATTTCTTGTCTTTGGAATTGGAAGATCACCATAATCATATTCTAAGTTCTTCCTTGGTCGAAGAGAAAATTCACCACAGAGCTAGCTGTCCCAGCAATCCAATACCAATCCAAAGTGGCAACCCAACGGCAAAACTGCGGCCAGTGCCCGAAAAATATCGCTGAACGGGATATAGGTTCCCTGGTGGACCGGGTATGTAAATGAGCGACGACGGTGGTGGTGGTGGTGGTAGTGGAGGGCAGTGTTTGCTTGTATGCTTCTTAGGAGAAGGAGGTGGTGGTGGAGGGAGTTGGTTGCATGCGTTAGTGCAAGATGAGCAGCTTCCACAGTTGTTCACTGAACCAGGTGGTACAGGCAAGGTGTTCTCGTCGAGCTTCCTTCGATTTTGTGCATTGGTAGGGGCTGAAATGGCAACAATTACAACAAAAACTGTTAGTCCTCGCAACATGTTAAGGCCCTTCATTGGAAACTCTTAACTGTTAAGAAGAGATTGATAGGGGGTTGTTTGGATTTCTGAATATGATGTGTTTGGTGGAGTGGCTTTGGAGAGAAGTTGATGAAGGTCAAGGAGGAGGGAGTCTGATCATTAATAAATGAAAGGTGTAAAAAAACCAAAGGTAGTTTGGTTATGTATTCTTCACTTTAGGGTGTGTTTAATTTATGTATTAAGAAGGATCGGATTGGACAAACTCATCCATCTCATACCTATTTATCTGGGTCTTAGACTAATTATAGTGAATTAGTGATAATGCCTCTTCATCCTATATTTGGTTCGAGTATTAAGAAATAATATACCTCATATTTATCTTATCCAATACTTTGCTTGAATAGGGTATTGAATGATATTATAAACATTTAATTACTAAAGTACCCTTAAGATAATTATCTTTGTGAAAATCTTGAGGGTAAAAATGTCTTTTGTCAAAACATACCCAGCCGGACTATTTAAACCCACAAAATAGGTGATTTTATTTAAGAAAGTGTATGTGGCTATAAATTCACTATTTATTTGGACTTGAATTTTTTCTAATTTATAATACCGAGCTCAAAATATATATCCAAACATGAAAATAAAAAAGATAAAATGGACCCAAGCCTATTTTTTACCAGCCTTCTTTTCTTAATACATAAGGCAAAAACAGTGGGAAAGAGTAGTAATGTGGTAAGAGGCGTTTCTACATCAGTGGGAAAGAGTAGTAATGTGGTAAGAGGCGTTTCTTCTATGTGTAATGATTGATCCAGGAAAATCACATTGCAGGTGGATGGTCCCACAAATAGAAACCCCACCCAACCTCAAAATGTGTTTGCTTTTATGTAATCCCATGTTGCATTGATGGTTTTAACAATTTTATATATGGTAAGATATTATAATAATCTTTAAAATTTGTGTTTTGTATCATTTTAATTTTCATTCTTAGGAGTTCGTCTCATGCATCGCATACGACGAGTGTTTTAAAAGCCTATCCTCCTACTATTACTATGTTCAATTAAGAGATTTTAGAATTATTTTATTGTTTTATCCCAATCAAATCCTGCCATGTGGCCAAAAAATTAATTCTTTCATATATTTATTTGTAACCATCCATTCGAATTTTTCCAAAAAAAAATTCTCATTGTCTTCCCATAACTACCCAATACATGGTAGTGAATTGCTGATGCAAATAAATTGTGACCATTTAAAAGAGAATTGAAGATCCCCCCATTCTTGTGAAAAATGGAGGGGAGCCGAACCCATTGTTCATGCTTCTTTTCTATCATAATTAGCTACTTGTATAATCTCCTTTGAACCGAGTTTTTTTGGTAAATATTTCTTGTGTAACATAATTGGAATTCGATAATCGCAATTTCGAGACCTCCCAATGTTCGTATGTGTTGATCCTATAAGTGATGTTGGTCTATCAATCTTTGTAGTTTTTGTAGTCACATAAACCAATCGATAATATAATTGCCAATTGCCAGACACAAGCCAAAAAGAAAAAGACTACGTTTTTTGGGCAAGTATTTTTGGTCATTTTAACTGACGATGATATACCATTGGAGTTGGTGGTTTAGTGGTAAGTCATAAATTTTGACTTTTATGAGGTTATTAAACAGAGTTTAATTCACGAGAATAACACGATTTACTGCTTGATTTTGGTGGTGCTGTGGTGACAAACTATCCTTCTAAATTAGTAGTTATGATTCAAATCGAATATTCTACCATAAGAAAATGCTCACGAACACGCCCAAAAAAGATTGCTACTTATTAGTCATCCGTCCTTTTTATATGATATATAAAAAAAAAAAACTAAAGATTATATAGTGCCGACCTTTGGTGATGGCAATGTGCACTTTCATTTGCCGAATGGTCCATGGGGAAGGAAGGAAATGCTTTGTTGGGTGGGCTTAGATAAAAAGGAATGGAGGAGAGAGAATAGGGCTAAAAAGGTTTGGGTTATGGAATCTGGATTCATCAACGAGTGAAGAAGAAGAAGGATGTTGAAAGGCCACTTTCCCATCCCCTTAAAGCAGCGTTCCTTTTCTTTCATGGGTTTGTCCTAATCAACATCCCTAACGAATCTTTAAATAAATGTAAAATATCATACTTAGTCCTAATTTCGTATATTATTTTAAAATGATCCTTGAATTTTCAATTATTTTAATTTAGTCCATTAATTATCAATTTTATATCTATACATAAAATACCTAAGATATTGACAACCTTCCTACAATTCATTTAAGCCCAACTATCAACTTGTAGTTAATCATTGTAGGACGTATCCAACCCAATATAACAATGTGCGAAAGGTATAAACTTCTATAAGGACTTTCTATGTAGTAACACTCGAACTCATAGCATATTGTTTGGACAATATTATACCAAGTCCCATCTCACATTTTAAAAAATAGAAAGTCGAAAAAATTTACACGAATTGGGGTGTCAAAGTAATTCTTTTTGCCAAACAGTTACAGGACCATTGATTAAAAAGCTGAATAATTATGTTGGAGCCAAGTGAGGGAATGAGGCTTATTCTCCACTATCAATTGTGACCAGAAAACACTGTTCTGGGAACCTTTTCATGTTATATTCTCTTTGAGCAATGCTATTGAGACTTAATTTACTGACATAATTCACTGTAGACCCCATTAGATATTGGAACTTGGTGTTGATCTAATAATTTTTATGAAATCACATCATTATGTCAGCAAATTAGATCAAATATTTGGGTCCAAATAATATTACTCATTCTCTTTTAATAACTTCAGCTTTTAGATGAGCTCGAGTTGACGAATTAACATGGTAAATCACCCTTCGTTATTACACATCCCTTCTACCAACTAAAGCTTTTAGATGAGTTCATTTGACAACAATCCTCCATATAGCATAAACAAACAACACCAGCACCAAGTGAAAAGAGTTGGTCTCTAAGCTGTGTGGACGAGAGGCAGCATTTGTGTCAACATTTGCTCTCTCCATACCGAGAATAGTTGGCCAAAGCTCATACACAAGCATAACAAGCAGCTAAGTTCATCTTATTGGGAACTAGTTGACACAAGGTTAACTTCCAATCGCAATCAGTAGCGAGCTAGATCATTCTTCTTCTGTTCTTCATACTTTTATGCGTGGAATACAAAAGGTTAAGATATTGATGATGCACAAATTGATTTTGCACACCATCTGTCAAGTAATTAATGCAGATAATAAAATAAAGAAAGAAACTCAAGCAAGACACAATTTAAGTAGTTTGGTCAAGATGGTTTACTCCACTATGAAGGGTTAAGATGACTTGAATGTTTGATTGCTATAGGAGTGTAAAGAGATCAGATGAGAGCAATGAGAGTTCAAGTGAGGTACAAGCTATGAGAGATATGAAAGTGATGCTAGATGTGTTTGATGTTCCCCATGTGTAGGCGGGGCTTACATTTATAATCACATTCTAACAGATTAAAGCGGCTTATCAGTAACCAAAAGACTAATTTGGTGGCGGTGGCATGATTTTCTCAACGGATGAGACTGTTGTGGGACTCTCCTCAAGGCCAGGTCTTAGGATGGCGTGGTCCTTACTCCAAGGTGGCGTGGATAAGGCTCTTGGATGACACTGCCTAATTCTTGATGACGTGGCTCTTAGAGCCTTGATGAACTTGATTAGGCATGGATCTCTTTTTGGGCTAGGTCCATTGGGTTTTGTCTAGGTGGGTCCTTTATTCAAGTTGGGCCCTTATAGCCTGTGTTGGGCTTTAGGTTGGGCCCATCATTTGCCCCCCAAATGCCCCGAGTCCAATAAGACTTGGAGAAAAGGGCATTTGAACTTGTACTCTGACTGATGAAGACTCCTCTTGACTGATGACTCTGCTTGACTGATGACTTCTTTCTGTTCTTCATGTAGTTCATCTTGCTAGGATACCCTTTGTTATGAAAAATTTTCCCTAATCTATCACTTGGGATTTTTGCTTTCTTTCCATCCCATTCAACTTGAGAGAGGGTTTCTTGTGAGATGCTCAAGAACAAAGGCAAGATAAGTAAGGCTAGTGATTTTGTTCCTGGGTTGAGTGCCTAGAGATCAATGTCGAGTGAAAGAGAGGAGATGCTAGAGGCCATCAATGTCGGTGGGGAGTCAGGCAGTGCTGGAGATGTTGATGCAAGAGCTTAGGTGAACGTTGGAGAGGCAATAGGCAAGATGGGTGTTGATGAGGAGAGGACCCAAGCAGACGTCAGAGGCAAGGCGACCCAAGATGGTGTCGAAGGCGAGGTGACCCAAGTGGGCGTCGAAGGCGAGGCAATCTAGGCAATGGGCATTGAAGGAGAGGCACCATAGGCTGGCGCTGATCGCGGAGGAGGAGGCACGCTAGGGTTGCTGGGTGAAAACGGTAGAGGCCGTAGGTGGCGTCGTTGAATGTTGGATGTGTCCAGGCGAACGCACTAGTAGCGTCGCTGGGCGCTAGGTGCGGCTAGGCGAGCGCACAGGCATCGTCACTAGGGCCAAGGCATGAGCAAGCGACATTGTGCACGATGGAGGCTGAGCACGAAGCTTGGGCACAAAGCTATGGTGGTGCGTACGCCGGGAAATGCTAGTGTTTTAGGCGACAGCGACTCCAGGCAAGTGGTGGATGGCATGGCTCGTTCATGCGAAACTCCATGTAGTCATGTCCCTCAAGGTTCTCCTAGTAGTGGCCCATGCAATATCTCTCTTCAACCTCGCACTAGTAAACACCAAGGAAATGTAGCTCTTGATGATGACAGGTCCAAAGTAAATACCATTTCTAGTACTCTCAATACTGATGCTGACATTCTTCAGATTGTTTCCACTTATAACATTCTTCCAATGGTGTTGTGTTGCAGAGCTGAAATGAGTGAGTCTGTTTGTGATGACTCCTCTAGTGATATTGCTATTTGTGAGGAGGTGCTTGAGACAGGGCTAAGGTTTCCAATGTCTTCCTCTATCTGTCGCATCCTCTATTGTTTCTTATTTGCACTAGGGCGCTTGGCGCCCATTGGTTGGAGAGTTATTCTAGGATTTCTAGCCTACACTTTGAGTGAGACCTCTGCTCCTAATCGTAGTTGGTATTACATCACTTCAAGAGGAAGAAAGCTGATTGGTGGGCTGCGCTCCAATTGCCACAGTTGGAAAGTTCGTTTCCTCTTTGT